GAATACTAGGTAGACAGCCCGAGCCTCCTCTGACAAAACATGTATTTGAATTTTTTTGCAAGCCAAACCTTAAAAGGCTCGCATCCCATTCCGAACTTGAGCCCAACAAAGCCATCATCCAAGTGTCGCATGTGCGAAGAGGAAGGAAGCCTTCATTTGTACCATCTCAATTCATCTAGATGTACGAAAGTGAATAGTTTCCTGTATGCCCAGCAGTGCTGTGTGACTTACGGTACATATTCAGGCCAACTCTGCGACATCACGCTGATCAAGTTCCCTGAGCGCGCTGTTGGGGTCGCCCAGGCGCTTTACGAGGCGCGGAAATGTGGCTGCTCATCACAGAATCTTGGTATTGCAGGACTAGTTCGGCTGAACCCACCCAAACAGCGATCCTTATTTAGGTGCGGGAATTCCCGAAAAGGGATGGAACCCCCGCATGGCAGGGAAGATGTAAACAGTTTTGATTGACAATACAGACATGGCGAAGCCGAGTGATCACCCATCATTGTTTTTGTGAATTTGTAAGCTTCCTTCGTGCGAACTGACTAGTCGTTTCTGACATGAGTCGCATGAGTGGTTTCAGCATGCTTCTGCACTAGAAGGAAGGGTAGACTGAAAACAGCATTTCCATTGCCGGGCAGGGTTGACTGTTGAAGGTATGCAGGTCCTAGCGTTCGTTGTTGAAGGTTCATCTAAGGCATAGCAGGCAGGTGTGGACTTTCTGGTCACGTTGGAGACAGCCTCGTTCAGCGATAGCCCTCCAGAGATTCCGTGCGCACGTGTGCGGAGATGGTTTATGGAGACTTGTGATTCCACTGGGACTTTCAGGCTGCCATGTAGAAACTATGTGCAAAACATTTGATTATCAGCCAGGGGGGTCTGATTCAAAAGTTATACTGCGGGTGATTTCCGTCACAGTACATAGCCTCTGGAGCGAAGCGCAGCTCGTTAGAGCTGCTACACTGGGATGTGGCTTTGGAAGGACAATGATGTTGGACATGGGGGCACAAGGCGAAGCAAAGCAGCTTTCCCAGTAGTCATGCTGCTATGAGTCGTGTGACTAGCGCTATTACTTAGACCGTCTGTCTCTATTGTTGTTACCAGAGCTACAACTATGGCATCTGAGTGGCTAACCATGCGACAAGGTACAAGCGGCTTGTTACAAGCGCCGGGAAACTGTGGGGCTAGTTCTTAAAACGTGCGCTACCAGGTGGTGGAGGCAAGAAAAGGTGGCAGCTGAAGGTTCTAAGGTGAAGTATCAAATAATGGCTCAGCCCCTTGGAAATGAATGGGTTCCTTGTTAAGATCCCTGACCTCTTGGCATCTCGAACAGTAAGGCCACAAGCAAGGGCGATTGGGCGTGCCTCGAGTTGAGCCTCGGCAAAGATGGGTCCAAGGGTTTTAGGGTTTAGGGTGTAGGGTTTTGCTTGAAGGTCTATCGGTCTCTCTGAGACGGGGTTTTCAAGCATTTCCTGGGAAAAGATGCGGTGTTCTGCATCGTGGCGGGGTGGCTCCGCTGCGGGTAGGGTGGGAAAGGTGAGATTGAGTCTTCACTGCACGCTCTTCGCGGTCAAGGGCTACTTGAATCTCTTTCTTTCAAGGCAGAGCCCCGCTCCAGCGCAACGGCTTCTAGATCCAACGACGTACTGCAACTGCAGACAACACGTGGGAATCCTCTCATAACATCCTTCGTGTCGCAGCCTTCTCAAGTTCAGACGCCGCAATAGATATTAGGAGCAAAGCGCTTTAGATCTTCGATTTGGGCAGCACAACTTGGACTAGACCGGGCTACCTTCCTGGCAGTATGTGAATGGCTTGCCATCAAGAATAAACGTCTTCCTCTCTAATATAACACTTGCCCGGAGCATTCATTATTAGGAGAGTTGTAGGCTCCCCATGTGGTTTCCACTGTGAACCTAGTAAATTCAAACGTAGTTAAAAAATTGGATAACAGCGTTAGACAATCAATACAGTCTACATAAAGTCTAATTCCTGTTGACGTCAACAAAAACTCTAGAACCTACTTGAAAAGGTAATAAGCTCAAGTAAAAGTTACTCAGAAGATGAGGAAATTTATAGCAATCCTTTTCAAATCTAATTGCAACCAAATGTAATAGCGGAATAAACATTTGAAGTTGCTTTTAACTTTGATATAGATTCCGTCATGGAAAACTATATATGGAATTAAAGCCCAGGACATCAAGGGGAATTCTAGTTCCTTCGCATCTTTTACTGCAAGCCCTTTATGACCTCAGAACACCCCGAATTCATTATTACGGGGACTCTTGGCCCGTTTATGTCTTCGCTGGAATTGGGGATTCTTCGGGAGGAGTGCTGATCATGAGGGTGGGTTTTCGAGTGTGGTTATGCCCCTCTAAAAGTGTAGCTCTGCATACATGTGGCAGCATTACATCATACCATTAGCTTCAGTGCCCCTTGCTTAGCGTTTGTATGAAAGAGTTCATGTTGTAGTTTACCAAAATATGGGTACCCTAATATAGACACCAACATTTTTTATCATTATTATGGGGTCCCCCAAAAGGGTAGCCCTACTTTTGGAACCCCCCATGTACGTGGTGGTAGGCAAGCTGACTTGCTGTTGTGCCAGAGCTCTGGCTGCATGAGCCAATATCAATGCAGGAGAGTCAGGTGGACAACGAAATGGATACCCTAGGTTTAAAGGGCAAGTATAAGGACATGATCCCAATTTTGGAGGGTCACATGGAAAGAACAAGGGAGATTGACATGGAAACTGGGTTTGTATAGGGGTCTATGGGGATTAGGTTTGCAAAAATTAAGGGTCGCTTTGTGGGGGTACCTATAACACGGACTAAATTTTATTGGGGTATGTTAGGGGTCGCCCCATTTATGGAAGCTCCATTACAGTACACGTGTTGATCTCACTCTGCTTATCCTTTGCCGTGGAAATAGGTCCCTCACCCCTAAACCCTATAAACCCTAAACCCGCTGATGCAGCACAGATGGCTTCTCCTCTAATATACCTGGACTTCTTCCCATGGCTAAGTTGGAAGAGGGTGTGGACCTTAAGGAAAGCAACGAATGACACCGATGCCACGGATGCCCAAGGATGCAAGGACCGCTTCCTTTGAAGGTGTACAAGTACTATTGATGGAGGAATTCTTGCAGAGCCTAAGGTCTCCCCAGCAATGTAGAACCTCGAATTTTAGGGGCGTAATGTTTTAATTGCAGGGCTTTTGTCCACCAACCTTAGGCTGGGCATGGTACCAGGCTTTGCTGTTTTGTTCGTCCGAGGTATCACTTATCAAGGCTCCCACTATATCGGAGATTCTTAGCTAATTGGGCCCCCCGGATGGTCCCGGTACATGCCTTGGCGACCCAAATTGTGAGAAACCTTCACATGTCATGTACGGTGATGAGGCCTTGGGCCGCTAGACTGATGCTGACTTCCTAACACATCTTAAGACGTAGCGCGCATGGGCTAGGATCCCGGATTAATGGGAAGTAATGCATGCTCTGGCAAGCGATGTAGCGCAAAGAGCAGCCTTCTGAAATTCTTTGTGCAAAGTCTTCAAACCAACGGTTCTGTGTCTGCTACCTCAGCTTTTCAGGTGGCAGCCTCTTGTCCTTTTGTCCTGTGTTCGTTTGAGAGACGGGCCTTGCAACGGGGATTTCCAGGGTGCTTCAGAAGCCGGCGAAGATGTCTAGATGCCAGTCAACTTTTTGGAGCCCTGAGGGTGCGAACTTAATCTAGGTCACTGAAACTGATTAAGGGCTTGCATCAGCAAGTCATTAAAGCTTCGACCGGGCAACATCTTTAAGTACAAAGCACGTAGAGCTCTAGATATGCATGCAACAAAGAAGAGAACCACCTCATCTCATCCCATTCTTGTACCAGCATAAGTCCCGCCCTGTCTTGCAACTGCAGAGTGTAATCCACGGTGCTTGTGAAGGGAAGGGGCGAGCAGGGTGGAAAACCGTGTAAGCACAAATGCTGCCGACCGTATCTCCTAGCAATTGAGCCCCATTTGAGGCAGCACTACACGAAAAACTAGAGAGTGGTGAGAAGTATGAACCTTCGTTCGTGTAGCTGAACATAGCGCTCACGACCCCTAGCCGGTAGCCCGTGCTCTGAACAAAATTTGGTATAGCAGCCATTTGCATCCCTCTAGAGCTATAGTCTGAAGACCTTAAACCCGTAAGATTGATTGAGGTTCATGAGGGCTTCCGGAACCATATCCCTGCAACCACGAGCGCCGCTGGGGATCGTTGTTAATTTTCACAGGAAAACACGAGTGTGGTGCACTTGCTTTTTTGTCCAACGCCCGCCCAGCATTTACAATCATATATAGGACCTGATAGCGGACTTGAAGCAGAATCACACACAACACCTCCAAAGCAAAGAGATGCCATTTTTACAGTATGTCTCTAGTAACCCTGTAGCAGCCCTCGACAAGCGCTTCTTTAACGCCAGGGTACCCCGTCATAGACAGAGGTTCAGAGAATCATTCCCCTGCAGGCACAGACGTTAGGGCGGCTCTTTGATGCCCTTGGTGCCCTTGCTGCACCAAGTGTACAAGTGCTCAGCAGTAGTACTAGTATTATTAATATGATGGTTCGTATTATCAAGTTTATTAGTAGGGTTTCGCCAGTTTTTGGGTCGAGGGTCTACACGTCTCATAAAAGGAGAACCAAGAGGCAACCAACTCTGGTGGATTTTGCACCAGCACACTGAGAAGTAAGCTGTAGCTGCCTTTCTCCCCCATTAAGGAAGTAATTTGTTGCCCACAAATGATGCGCTCTCAGAATCATACACACTTTTCGAGAAAATCTTTACTTGAGAGAGCTTACATACCCAGAGCTAGCTTTTGAGAATCAGCCGGGTATGAAACTCCCCTCGCTATTTCCTACTATAGAAAGTTAAATAGATAAAAGTATCATGTTGAAGTCGGCTTGAGGTACCCTTACAACAATCAGGCGAGGAGTCTATACTGCTAAATATGTAGGCTCCTGTAGTGTGTGATGTGGGATCTTTGGCCATGCTGTTGCTGTTTGTTTTTCCGGTGCTAGGATTGGGGGCTAGACTCGAGCTTGAGACTCCCTAAACCCTAAACCCATGGCTTTTTCCACATCCTGAAACTCATGACTCCTCTTGGGAAGCCCTGTTTGGAGGGTTGGAGGGGCATAGGAACTTTCAGATAAATATACGATATGATACTATATTATACTATACTATACTATACCATACTATTATCGGATGATGATTCCAAATTGTGGGGTTGTCGTGCTGGAGTGTACTCCACCTACCTACTAGTAGGACCAGTTTGGAAATTCCTGTTTGGAGCTGCCAGGCAATACGGCAGGGTTCAGAGCAAACTGCAAACCTGGGGAACTTCCACAGGAAGAATCTACCAGAGGTGAGGCCCCTCGATACCATTTGAGCTGATTTGGGCGGAATTTGGGATGAGGGGTTCCTTTTTGGGTCCCCATCACAATATAGGGCCCAACATGTAAGGTACCCCCAAAATGACCACAATTTTGACGAGCTATCATATCCTGTAGCTTTTTTCAGTGACTGTTTTAGTTGAGGTTCGATGATGCAACATTTTGGGCCAAGGCGGTTCCTCCAACAGCGTCCCCATATCTGCCCACGCCATCTCAACACCAGGCAGTGCAGTGGAGGGGTTTAGGGTCAAAGTTTCGGTGTTTAGGGTTTGCGGTAGGGTTTAGGGTTCAGGGTTTAGGGTTTTGATGTAGGGCACCTTGCTTAAAGCAAGTGGCCGGGGAGTTGCGTTTGGGGGTAATATGCTCAGGATTTAGGCCTCAGCGATTAAGGTTTTTGGCAGTGGCAGAAGAGACTGCAGCGCTTAACTGGTAGTACACCCCTGTAAAAGGTACGCGACGCGCATTGAAGGTCAGAGGTCTTTGAAACCAACTGAGCCTTGGCAATTCCTGTTTTTGAGCTGGCTCGGGCTGTGAGAGCTCAAAGAGCAAGAGAGAGAGAGAGAGAGCAAGAGAGAGTCAGAGAGAAAGAAAGATATATAGATATATATGTATGCATTCATATGTCAAGATATATGCATATTCATGAGACCCTCATCTTTAATCTTGGGATTCGCCCCCTCTCCCCTAACACCAGGCGAAGCAAGAAACAGGTCCTTCTTCAGGCCTCCGACGGTTTCGAGGGTCCTTCGGATTGATTTGACGGGCATGGTGTGGAGTCTGCTAGGACACCAGAACCAAAGTTTAGGGTTTAGGGTTTAGGAACTAGATCAAAACAGGGTCCTCCATCATTGGCCTGATCCTCTTTGAGGAGTGGCAACAGCACTTATTGAGGGGCCTCCTCAATAAAAGAATACATACAAGATGATAAGGTGACATACTCTAGCAAATAGCTCATGCAAATGTATATATATATATATACATATATGTAGTGACGAAAGCATATATGTACGTAGGTATTTTAATGTATGTGTGCACATCCTCCTTAGTGATATGTTGCCTAGCAAGGCTATGAAGCTGTTCGAGGCCCTCATTTGCTTTTGCTTCACTGACGCTTGCGGGGAGGATCTTTCTACAACAGGTGTGGATTGTGCGGTCGCTACGACAGGAACTTAACACATCGTTTGTTGGGGTGTTGTATGGGCGCATATCTGTGCATACACATGTACGTATATATGTAATTATGTGTATCTGTATTTGTATGTGTATATCGAATACATACAGAAATATATATATATATACATATATATTCTACATACGCATGAAGTTCTACATTTATGCATGGAGAACTGCCCATATTTGTTTGGTGAATGTTTCAATGCTATTGGAGGGCTCAGCCACATTTCTGGGTTATTGTTAAGGAGCTTAAGGGATGTTAATTCAATATGGATATGTATTGAACCATAGGGTGTCCTTGTTATAGTCACTTAATCTAAGTTCCTGACCGGCAACCCAGATTAATGTGGAGACTTTGCTTAGAAGGATCCAAGGCTGCAAGCTGACTCAAATATCCCGGGGGCTCCCGGAAATCTTGCACCACATCATAATCTACATTACCTACATACATAATTAGGCTTCTCTGTATATGTTTACGTACAGATGTACATCTGTATATATATGTAAAGCCCGGCTGAATCTCCATGGCTCAGGCATCCTTTCACAGGGTGCCCAGCTTGCTGATGGAAATGGTCTGGCTGCCGTGCCCAAGCTGTCGCTGTCTGTCCTAGTAGGGTTTAGGGTCTAAACTCCTTGAGGGCGGGTTATATAGGGGATTATATAGGGTTTAGGGTTTGGGGCTTAGGCGTCTGGACCCGACTCCTTGCATGTTTGTTTTTGCATCAGCCGGGCTTTTCTACGAACTTCTTGTATGTACACGCGCGCCCTGTCAGAACCTTGGTTGCTTGTGCATACACACAACCCTGCCCCTTCCCGCGGCTTCCGCCAAAGGTGTCTTGCAACCTGCCGACGCAGTTTGTACCGAGCCAAGGCAGCAAAATCTGACCACTTCACTTGGCTTCTACGTTGGGAGATAGTATTTTAGCGGATAATATGGTATATCATCGTATTTTCTGTATAATGTGGTATATTACAGTTCATTATAGCATATTATTCCTTGAAGATCCCGTTGTTGGGCTTTCTTGTCGCGGCTCTTGTGAAGACAGATGCTCCCAAGTACCAGTATACGAGTAACAGGTACACACATTGAGGCTCTAAGGCTGGTAAACGCGCGTGAATTCTCGGCAGGCACGCGTTCAAAGCTGTAGCCAAAGGCAGTCGTAGCGCGATGGATCTTGTGCGGGGAAATGTAGTCACAACCCTGTAGGCACATGCTTGCATACCGGTCATGTTGAATCCCGTTTCCCCTAAATTCTTCACCCCTCCGCAGGATTACATGCGCATGATCCAAGGCTGTCAACGGCTGGACAAGATTTAGCCATGGATCCCATTCCAATGCGCGCTGCGGTTCGAAAGCCCTTGGGACGAGACATGTGGTTTAAGGTTTCATGCTTGGAAGTTAGCCAAAATCATTTTGCAAGGTTCCTAGCTGGACATATTTCTAGGGTATCCCATTTTGGCATAACTCAGACCTCTAGGCACAACAGTTCAGAGGCATATGGTAGCTGCAGTTTTTGGTGTGATTTGCTGAAGTGATATGGAGGTAGATGTCAGAATCCAGCAGCTTGAGTTTGGATTGGGGTTTAGGGTTTACGGTTTAGGGCCTGGTTTTGGGATCGCAGTTTTTGGGGTCCAGAATTGTCTTTTGGCGGTGTGGCTTCACAGGCGGACTCTTGCAGAACGTTTCTGCCAAGGGTTACCGAAGTGCAAGAACCTTCCCAATAGTTGACCGTCCTAAACTCCTCAGAAAATACACGAATGGTGAAATTAAAGGGATTGTAGCGTCGTCTTATCGAGCAAACATTGCATGGGGTGTTTGGACTATACCATAACCCTATGGCCAAAGCTCTCAAAGACGATAATCCTTTGCTAAAGATCCTTTGTCAACATGATATTACTATTTGTTAGGCCTCTGTATGATCGAGCTTGAGATGTTGACGTGTCTGCCACGGCTATGCAGGGAGACCGTAAATCCTAAACCCTGAACCCACTCCTAGTCCTTGCATCTTAGAGAGGCACTACCTAGTCTGGATTAGCCGAGAATGACAGTTCAGGGGAAAGGGTTGAAATAAAGGGTTATCTAGGGACAAATACAGGGATCCGCGTTCATTTTCTACTTCTTATCAAGTGAGAAATTACTCTAAACGCCTATATCCCTCGGTAGTTCCCATTATAATCCCCTAGAAAATCCCCTTGAAGGAGTTCAGACCCTAAACCCTAAACTCTATGTGATCCCCTATATAATCCCGTTGAAGGAGTTTAGTCTACAGCTCAAGTAGCACTTCCCGATGTTCGTGAACGCACCCTAAGGTTTGTTAGGACCCAAAGCCCGCAAAATTGTGACGAGGCCTGATGCAAGCCCAATTTCCTGAGCCCCTACCTGGTTGTTTAAAGTTAGGGGTTTAGGGTTCAGGCGTTTAGGGGTTTAGGGTCTAGGGTTCCCTAAAACCTAAAACCCTGAACCCTAAACCCTTACCTCTAAACATTCGCAAGCCTAGACTTTGAAATCCTCAAACGTCAAAGCCTTGAACCCCTACCTGTTCAGCAAGGAGCCCCAAACTTTTTTGCATGAAGCAAAACCCTGTGCAACCCGAAAGGGGGTCTAGGGTTGAGAGTTTAGGGTTTATAATTGAAGGTTTAGGGTTTAAGGTTTGGGGTTTTCGTGTTTAGGGTTTATGGTTCGGGCTAATCACCTAGCTATTGGAGACCTAATAGTTGGATACTGTAGAGAAAATCCAAGAGCAGGTGCCAGTTTCTTACTGGTCCTTAGTAGGGAATAAGGGAGTACATTGTATAGGGTTCTTCCTTACTACAAACCGGTGAGGTTTTCCAGCAATACTACTATACATAAATCGGTGGCTCGAATTGTGGCTACCTTTACGCCCGAAATCCTAAACGTCAAAACCCCGTTTCACCTAACACCTCAGTTCTAAGCCTTAAGAACCTTATGACGTAAACTGTAAATCCTAAACCTTCAGAACTTTATTATTTCAACCCTGAATCCTAAGCCTTAAGGACCGTATTGCTTAAACCCTAAATCCTAAACCTTGGAAACCTTACCCAGATCCTCTAAGGGAACTAAAATAGATCCCCTCGAACCATATAGGCAATTAGAAAAGAATTATATAGGGGTTATCATGGCTTTATATTGGGGATCTAATTTTTAGATCCTCCCAGGGGTCTGGGTATGCTTAAGTTACAGGATTCAGGATTTGCGTAGGGTTTAGGGTTTAGGCGGTTTAGGGTTGGAGCTACAGACCCCGCATGACCTCTGTATACTAGACTTTCATAATTCCAAGGGTGTAGGGCACCTAGGGTCATGCAGGATTTCGAGTACCAACCCCATCAAGCATGACATAACCACAGTTTCCATCTGAGTAGTATTTTATTTGGGGATACTATGGTACCCAATATAGAGTAAGATCATATCCTCCTTTTGGTTATAGCATTATAGCATTTTACATAAGGATTATTATCTTACTAGGTTCAACCACCAAAAAACACTACTAATGTCATTTTCCATTTTCTTTTCCATTGGATTTCCATTAGCAAGGAAATATTCCCTCAACCCCAAAACTCCGAAACTCTAAACACTCCAGCGAAACTCAGGACTTTCGCCGGCTCACGCGCAGAGAGTGGCGCAAAATCTGCGTTGTGAAGGGTGGACCAGGGGTCTTTGTGTAGCTGAAAATATAGTAGGGGTTAGATTTAAGGCAAATATTCCCTAAGAAGGGCCCATATACATTAGTTTCAAAGGAAATATTGAAGGTAGCTTATTCAGAGGCTAGGGCAAGCAGTTAGGGCAGGGCTTGGGGGATAGGTAGGTTGTGTAGGTGTGGTGGTGAATCAAACGGAAAAGAAAAAGGAAAACTAAATGGACATTTGCTTCTGACGTGATGGTGTGTTATGAGTGACGTGGAAGCCTACATGATATCAAAAAAGATTGGTTTGTAGCCCTTCCTTAGCTCTGGCGTAATGTTCCCTATACCGTATTCTAGTTAATAGGGTCCTTGTTAGACTGACTGACTTTTCTTTGTAGGGATTTCTTGGGTTTCAAGCACTGGTCATGAGAAAACTGTCGCAGCAGAGTCACTCGGCCCACGTGAAGGAGTGACATCAAATCAATATTTGTGACTGATGTGTAACGGGGACCCCAGACTTATTCTATAATGTTTACTTGGGGTTTGTACAGGTGCCCTTGTTTCGGACAAGTCCCCAAAGCACCAACTGTCTACAGGGACCTTAAAAAGGTACCCCTAATTGTCGGCAACCTTAAACCCTAAACGCTAAACCCTACATGTATATACACATATATCAAACTGTTCATATTTCCCCATGACCCTAAGAAACCCCCCGAACCCTAAACCCTCTAAGAGTACCCCACATCCGCATCTGAAAATTACTCTGGGCCAGGGCTTCTTCCCCGCAAACCCCCTATATTCCTAAACCCCTAAACGCCTAAACCCTGAGACCTTGAAACCTCAAACCCTGAACCCTGAACCACCCCTGAACCCGAAAATCCTAAAACCCTAAACCCTACGTACACACTAACCCCTAAGCCCAAAATCCCTAAACTGGACGCGAGGCTGCTAAACCACACGTAGGGTTTAGGGTGTACGGTTTTAGGCCTTATTGGGTTTAGGGTTAGCATTTAGAGGCTTTAGGCTTTGGGGTTTAGGGGTTAGAGCGTTCAGGGTTTAGAGGGTTTAGGGTTTAGAGGGTTTAGGGCCGGGTTTAGCGGGTTTGAGTTTAAGGGTCTGGAGGGTGTAGGATCTAGGGTTTACAGGGTTTAGGGTTTGTGGTTTATGAGGCCCTACACCTCTAGGTCTACGGCCCAAAGCTTGCGTCAGCCTAGACCCTTTAAGCCCTGAACTCCAGATCTAAGGTTTAGGGTTTATTTAGGGTTCAGGATTCAGGGTTTAGGGTTAAGAGGTGAGATAAGGGGCTTTTGGGGGCTTGGAGTTTAGGGTTTAGGGGTGTAGGGCCTACACTAGCCTTCAACGACTAAAGCCCAAGTCTTTCTTGGCAAAGTTTTTGTCTTGGAAAAGGCTGACCTCGTTTGGTTCGATTCAAATGCCAAATGAGCCCTAGGCCCCAAATCGGAAACCCTAGACCCTATATAAACCCTAGACCCTGGACCCTAAACCCTAGACCTCAAACCGTATATCAACAATGATTACTACTCGAACCACATTCTACTCTTTTCATTGTTGAAAACAGGAACGCCCTCAATAGTTTACTTCCGGTTCTCAGTAGGGAATAAGGGAATCCATTATACAGGGATCATATAGCCCTAAATCCTCTAGGGAAAAGGTCCGATACAAAAAAGACCTCCATGGACTATATATGGATCATATTCCTTTATTATATAGGGATTTTACCTCGAAGCCTAGGTCCTATAGAGATTATATATGATGGATTCCATTCATTTTAAACCCTAAACCCTATTCCCTACTAAGAACCAGCAAGTTTAGGCTCCTCTGTCAGCCATGGAAAGCTTCCTGAGCCCAGCGCAGCGGCCGATTCCCTTCATCCTTCGGGGAGGGATCGCAGGCACCCGGTTCAGGGTTTAGGGTTTGGGGTTCTGGGTTTAGGGGTTGGGGTTTAGGGTTTAGGGTTTGGGGTTTAGGGTCCAGACCGTGTTGCTTGCTGGTTCTTGCTGGGGAACAGAGGAATATATTCCCTGTATAATCCCTTTATGATATCTTCCCTTATTTCCTACCAGGAATTAGGAAGGCTCGGAGTCCGAATGGTCAGGTTTATAGATTTTGGGGCAATATTTTGGGTAACCCTTAACCCTAAACCGCGTGTTGGAAACCTGTTTAGCTAAGGTAGAGATTCCCCAAGCTTTGTGCGGTGAATGTCCTACAGTCTGTTATGGTTGCTATATGGAAGGATAGCCTGATGAAGATGGGATGTAAGGTTTACAGTCTAGGGTTGCAGGACTTCTGGGATTAGGGTTTAAGGTTTAGGTTGTAGGGTTTCAGGTTTTGGGTTTAGGTTTCGGGGTTCAGGGTTTCAGGAGTTCTGGGCTAAGGGTTTAGGTTTTGGGGTTTAGGGTTTCAGGAGTTCTCGGATTAGGGTTTGGGGTTCAGGGCTTAGGTTTGGAGTTTAGGGTTTAGGGATTAGAGTAGCGCCTCATCCCCTTGTAAGGTTCTGCATTCGAGGCTCACTCTATACTAGCCTTCATAAACAAGCACACCTACAGCCAGACAAGCCTTTGCATAAACCTTCAACCCTCGACCCTACGTCCTAAACCGCATGGTGCAGTACCTAAATCCTAAGCCGGCGAAAGCCCTTAAACCCTCAACCCTGAGCACTGAACCCCACTAAACCCCCTATAGTACCTGCATTAATCCCCTCCCCCAACATCAAACCACACCACACTCCCCTAATTTAATTACTCCCAATACATTATAACATGCCCGAATGGGAGCAACACTAGGGGGATGGGGATATTCTGTCAGCCCACCCTAGGCCCTAATGTCCTGTAGTACCTAAACCTAAACTCTAAAACCCTAAACCCTAGACCCCTAAACCCCTCAAAACCTTAAACCCTAAACCCGACATCCTAAACCCGAACCTCTAACCTACATCATTCTACCAAAGCCTCTCTGCAGGTAGCGCTCCTCGACATGTCAGCGCGCCCTGCCAGCGATGCGCGCCACAGAGGATCAGGCTGTTTGGGGTTCAGGGTTTAGGGGTTTGAGGTTTAGGGTTTTACTGGCTTGCGGATTTGGATGGAATTTAGGGTTTACGGTTTACGTAAGGTTTAGGCGTTTAAGGTTTCCATACATAGGGGGTCCCAATTTACGTGGACTTCAAAATATTGTAATCCTTACTGTGGCAACCCAACAAAGGTATCCCCAATGCTGGAAACCCTCAGATGTCACTTTGGGGACATTACTTCCCCAAAATGCAGAGTCTTTTCTTTGAAGCAAGAATGCGACACAACTGGAGCCTGAGCTTATACGGTGAGGTTTCTAGGGATTAGGGTTTCCTAAAACCAGGCGTCCCTTATTCAGGGTTTAGGGTTTAGGGTAGTATGGATTATCGTACTTTGCGGTCTCTATTTCCCCCCCCGAGCCCCACAATTTATGGAAGCCGTGAGATGTCAGGCGCCATGCAGGATTTCGCATTTCTGCGCGGTTCAGAGTTCACTTTCAGGCTCAGGGGTCTAGATTTCAGGGGTTTCAAGGTTCCCTAAACCCTGAATCCTAAAGGCTAAACTTTCGAGTTTCGTCGTGAAGGTTTAGCATTTGAAGCTTCTTTCGTAGCCGAGGTAGGCTTGAACCTATGGGTGTATATGCTAGTTTCCCCAAATCGGGGAAACCTTAATATAGAGCCCCCAAATACTGCAATCCTTATGATGGGGACCCCCAAGAGGGTACCCCCCTATATAAGCCTGCTATTTTCAAAAGATTAACCTTTTTTTCGGGCCAAGAGTTCAGCAGCTTGGTTTCTGGATTCACCGAGTTTCAAGCGCGGGGCAGTGTGGGCGTTGAAAGCTTCAGATCTCAGGCTTCGAGTTAGACGTTGGGATCGGGGTGACGGAGAACTGAGTTGTTGTTAGGGAACTTACGCTTGAAGCTATTATTATTAGTAGGATTATCTATTAAATGCCCGGTGTTCCTTATACTTGCTGTTATGGAACTTAAGCTTGAAGCTATTATTAGTAGGATTATCTATTGAATGCCCGGTCTTCCTTATACGTGCTTGCTGTTATGGAACTTAAGCTTGAAGCTACTAGAAGTAGGACTCTCTGTTAAACACCAGGTCTTCCTTATACTTGTGATCCAGTTCAGGTTCCTGGTCAGCAGGAAGGAAAATGTTGCGTCTGCTGGACGACAAGTGGAGAGGGGCTGGCAGGGAACCGTGAGGGCGGGTCCCGCGCAAGATGGACGTGCAACTAGCTTAAACCCTATATAACCCCTCTATAAACCCTATTATATTATAGTAGTTTCCAATCCCAATATAACCCAATAATATATCCCCATTTTCTATCATGATTATACGGTTCTTGGTTTTCTGTCAGCTTTGGCCAGCCGCAAGCTGTGCAGGTCTGCAGTTGCGGCCGCGCCGGCTGTCGCTGCAGCCACTCTTTGGTCCTCCAGAAAGCGGGCGCGCGTAAGCGCCTCAGTATTTCGCCTCGCAGTCTCGAGTTTAGGGTTTCGGCTTTTGAATGTAGGGTTCAGGGTCTATGATTTAGGGGTTTAGGGGTTTACAGGCTTTGCAGGGTTCAAGCTTCAGTAGGAGATAGTAGGGTTTACAGTACGGTTTACAATAGGGTTCATAGAAAGGTTACTAGCAGGGCGTAGTACAGTATCGTGGCTGTAGACTCCCCTTGAGTAGATAGAATATGGCTTTGGGCATACTATAACAAGATCCCCATATACCCCATATTCTATCTACTTAAGGGCGACTATAACCCCTAAACCCTAAACCCTATATTTTATCTACTTAAGGGGGACTGTAGGTACTTCTGGTCTCCAGCCCATGCTTCTTGCTGCAGCCCATAATTTTCAACATTTTGGCCCATACGCTCCCTGTTTCTTACTGGGGGTTTAGTAGGGAAGTAGGAATACATCATATAGGGATGAAAGAGGCATTCTCTTCGCTCATTACCTACTAACCACCTGC